TCTTTCTACTTTCTATCTCCCTGTTTTGTGCTTTTATTCTCTCGCCTTTTAATTTTCCCGAAGGTCGCCTGGAGAGATCAGTGTTTAACCACTCATAACACTATACAGTAGTGTGTTGTCTCTCAGTCAGTCAGTAAACACTAAAATAACGTCACAGAAGGGTAGTTTAACATTGCAGTTTGTACTGTGGTGATGTCAATAAAACGTGCGCATGCCTTGTTTTAATAATGTGATAACACTGTTTATATGTTGGCATTTATTTTTTTCATTTAAGTGTAACTGTCTAAATTAAAATTCTGTACGAAACAAACTATACCATGCCAGGCAGTAAATAGAAAACTCTGTGAAACACCATTGATGAACTAATATGTTGAGAAGTAAAAGATATGTCAAATGATCTTCAGGTGAAACGATGAATCAACTTGAATTATTGTTTAGTGAGGAACCTACCGAACTGAATAATTTATTAAAAATACAAAAACAAAAACTTTTACAGTAGACGGGTTCTGATTTTATTAATTACAACATTTCGACTCACAGTCATCAATCAGGTAAGAGTTACATCGGAAAGTGACTACTGTAAAAGTAGTTATTGTACTTTGAATGTGTTTAAATGTGCCACGAAATTAGTTGACACATCTAAAACTGATACATTCTAGTGAAATCAGCATGTCAGATGAATAATGAAAGACTGACATTCTAATATAGACAACACGCTGTAATAAGACGCGCGATTTGTTTAATGTAGAACTGTAGTGAATGTTACAGGTCACATGTTTCCTCCATCCTCAATTATACTCAGTCTGACAGTGATTATTAAGCAATATTGCCCAAAATTACAATTTACGTTGTAATAAACTTCTGTAAAGTATGGCGACGCCAATGTTAGACCAAACATCTCTATAAACTTTACACGTACTCTCCAAGACACATGTTTTCAGAATAACGTTTCCACTTAAATCTCCCTGTACATAGACGTCTGTTTCCAAAACCAACTTTAAGCAGATAAAAGACACAGAAGTCCAAAACAATGTCATCATGAATTTGATAGGTTTGAATAGAGTGACTATGCTTCTAGTTTGATTGTTGTTGTAGTTTTTTTCATAAAGAAATCCAGCTATTAATTTCAAGGTCTACCTGGAAGCTTTTGAACCTTCATCAACCTTGGTTCTTATTTTGGTAACTATGCCTACCTTATTTGTAATGATTTTTGGGTCGGAAGGTTCTCGTTCATATCAACAAGTTTCAATTTATGGATTAGGAAGTTTATCCAGCTTTGCTTGATATGTGATTTGAGAAACTATTGCTGTTCTAAATGCTGAAATCTCTAAGTTTTATAATATCGTAAAGAACACTGAAGGCTCTATTCTTTGAAATATTGTGTCCTTCGGCTCTACGTTGTTTAAAAATTTTTCTACATAAGTCTACATAGCAACACTGTACTTTCGCATGATGAACCAAACATAGCATGTTGCTCATGACGCCATGGTTTACATCTGCGGCCATATGCCACTGCGTTAAAATCATTCTTATAAAATTTTCTGTAATTTAGCTTGTAATAAGACAATCAAATGATTTACTGTTAAACGTTACATATGTATATCTATAATTTAACCTGTAATAAAACAATCAAATGTTTAATGTTAAACGTTACGTATGTATATCTATAATTTAACCTGTAATAAAACAATCAAATGATTTACTGTTAAACGTTACATATGTATATCTATAATTTAATCTGTAATAAAACAATCAAATGTTTAATGTTAAACGTTACATATGTATATCTATAAATTAACCTATAATAAAACAATCAAATGTTTAATGTTAAATGTTACGTATGTATATCTATAATTTAACCTGTAATAAAACAATCAAATGTTTAATGTTAAACGTTACATATGTATATCTATAATTTAACCTGTAATAAAACAATCAAATGATTTACTGTTAAACGTTACATATATATATCTATAATTTAATCTGTAATAAAACAATCAAATGTTTAATGTTAAACGTTACATATGTATATCTATAAATTAACCTGTAATAAAACAATCAAATGTTTAATGTTAAACGTTACATATGTATATCTATAATTTAACCTGTAATAAAACAACCAAGTGATTTACTGTTAAACGTTACATATGTATATCTATAATTTAACCTGTAATAAAAGAATCAAATGTTTAATGTTAAACGTTACATATGTATATCTGTAATTTAACCTGTAATAAAACAATCAAATGATTTACTGTTAAACGTTACATCGTCTACCACCACGTTACAAAACATTCTGATCCATTGAAAACAGTCTACTGTTCTTGACAGAAAAACTCAAACAAATACGTCCTCAATTTTTTTTCAATGTAAACTGAGACATAACTTGTCTTGGACTTCAGGTAGTTAACAAAGCAAGACGTTCTTAAAGTAGAAAGGCTTTCATCAAATGGACAGAGGAGATACTTTACCATTCCAGCACGAGAATTTTACTTTTCTTGTTTTAACGTTTGTTGACATTTTTATATACAGTATATTTGCATTTTATCGTTTATATATTTATCTTGTATGTTTTCATACACTTATAAAATTATTATGATGAGCCTTGTTGTTACTTCAGGCCCAAACATCTTTCATTTTAGACATACAAAGCACGTACTTTACGAGTGGATAAAACTGTTTTACTAAAATGATTCGTTTTTGGAACAAGAAACTTGTATATAAAAATCATTGTGTGTTTTCTTCAACATTTTAGTTTCCAACAAAGTTTTAATTATTTCTTATTGTCTGAAGTCTATTATTAATATATTAATCTTTTTTTTACAACTTTGTTCTGATTATGCAGACCGCCAAAGCCGTGAAACCCGATCATTCTTCCTGAAAGACCTCAACTTGCAGCATCGCTGGACGTTGCACGAGGATCTCTGTCACCATTGGTTACTGGATGATTGCACTTGGCCCCAGTGTAATCGACATTGTCCTCCATTGCGGGACCCTTATACTGGTGAAGAAAAAGAATTAATCGAGCTGCTCAAGTCCTTTGGGTTAGAAATGGGCAGTGTTGCCGATGCTTTAGAGATTGATCCCAAGACGTTGGCTGAAATGGATGGGGATAAACTCCGCTTACTACTAACCCAGCAAAAGAATGAATGATGATGCTTTTTGTGACTAGTGTATATCGTTACGATTATAACACGTGTCAACAATCTGAAAAGAAAACTTTGTTGAGGGTTGAAGCTAAGAGTCGAAACTAGAATGTTTATCTCCTCTCTTTGTGTGAATTTGCAAATGTTGGAGTTTTGTACATTTATAATTAGTGATTTTAGTAAGAAAAATGTATTAAGCTTAGTTAGAGGAAAACGGCGAGAAAAGGAAGCATTGAACATTTATATGATTTCGACAAAACCGAAAATATAGGTTTGTATTTTAATATTGAAGTAAACAAACACAAAAATTAATTAGTAAGTTTGATATTTGATTTTGATTTTGTAACATTTCACCAAACTAACCATAAACTTTCATAAATTACAAACTTAAATTAATGATTTTTTATAATATGTTTTGTAACACAACTTGAACAATGAAACCAATGAGGTTGTTTTAAATAGATTTTCAAAACAGCAAAAAGATGCGATTACTTAATGAAGATTTTGAATGTTAAAATAAATTAGATAACTTAGCTTAAAATATTTTTTGCGATTAAACAATGCGTTAACTTATTTTAATAGTATCTGACTAATGAAGACAATAACAACATTTTGCTTTTCGTCATACGTTTTGAGTACAATAAATATGAAAGTGAATTGATTATACTACAAAGTTTTATCTACAACAAACAAAGTAGTTAGTTTCAACAACTAACATTTCCAGGTGAAATCATTTTTTTAAAGATTGTCAGTACAATAAAAGGTTTTTAGTAACTTCATTAATTTAAGATAGTTGGGTAAAATTGGTTACAGCAACGTGATAATTCGAGATAAAGTGACATGATGTTTAAAAAGTTGTTCAATAATTATACGACCATTGGGTTTTAGTAACGATTGACATAAAATTTCAAATGTTTTAAAACATTAATGGTTAAAGTTGAGTTAGATATGTGTTTAATAAAAGAAGAATCTAAGAAACATTTTGTTTTACAAACACTTTCCATATCGCAGTAAAAACTAATTGGTAGCAAATATTTCAGAAATGATTTAAATAAAAGTGAATATAATGTTACCTAGTCACTTAACAATTAATCAGTCCATTAAGCGACAAAACTACTTAGTTGTTTTTAATAATTTAAGAGGATAATTACATATTCCCATTTTTCTTAATTTCACTAAAGATAATCACTACTTTAGAAGTATTTCTGAAGCATAACACATAAGTATAATTTGATTAATCTAAAAAGGATTTATGTTAAGTATGTATAAAACGTAAGTATAATATACCTAGTTTAAAATGGATTTATATTAAGTATGTATAATACATAAGTATAATATACCTAGTTTAAAATGGATTTATATTAAGTATGTATAAAACGCAAGTATAATATACCTAGTTTAAAATGGATTTATATTAAGTATGTATAAAACGTAAGTATAATATACCTAGTTTAAAATGGATTTATATTAAGTATGTATATAACGTAAGTATAATATACCTAGTTTAAAATGGATTTATATTAAGTATGTATAATACATAAATATAATTTGACTAATTTAAAAAGGATTTTTATTAAGTAAGTATAAGCATGTTCGGGGATTTCAACAAACATAACCTTGATTTGGTAGTAATGAGTTACACAGTTTTGTCTTGGTTATTTTGAAAGTATGTGTAGATCAGTAAAAAATAATCTGATATTTCTAAAACGCCTTCATCACTTAAAGAAAATAAAATTGCCTGTCCTGGATTGGTTTTGATTACATTCACAACAAAAATAAATTGATGTTAACAATGAATGTAAGTTCAACAAGAAACATCCAGAACAATGACTTTAAATATATTCTCTGTATTCAAAAAATAAAACATTAAAAATGATGTACCCGAGTAAGTGATTCTGGGTGTCACCACTATGTTTCACCACAACACAATATTAAAAGGAGTGCATGTGATGTATTCTACTAAATGTTTCTGAGTGTCGCAACTACGTGTCGCCGTGACACAACTTTAAAAAGAGTACTGTATTCTAGTAAATGTTTCTGAGTGTCGCAACTACGTGTCGCCGTGACAAAACTTGAAAAAGAGAAATTGTGATGCATCCTTGTAATTGATTCTGAGTGTCTCAGCTACGTGTCGCCGTGACACAACTTTAAAAGGAGTACTGTATTCTAGTAAGTGTTTTTGAGTGTCGCCACTACGTGTTGGCGTGGAAGAAAAAGCTCGTGTTTCTAATATTGTGAATTAAACCACAGTTGCTTATTGATGACAAAATAATTGTCAGTCTTTACCTTTTGCATGTTTTGTAAAGCTTAAAAGACAGTGATGTTTGTTGATGAAGGAAAGTGAACGACTTGAGTTCTTGTAAAATTAGTCTTCTCTGTGTTTAATTCAATACATTTCTTGAAAAGACATAAATATTACACTCCCCAACTAGTTACATAACGATATAGTATGTTAGCAGTGTTTGATTTGACGAAATTCATTTTTCCATTATTGCCCATGTTTATTGTATAGCGAGTGTTTTTACTTAATTCAAAGTGCGCTCTGCTCTACATAAAAAATACACATCTTAATATTTGGCCTGGCGTTTTAGTACTGAAAAATCTACCTCTACATAAAACACATATCTTAGTATTACGCTTTGTGTGTACTACGACTTGACAACACTATCTCTACACAAAACACATATTTTAGTATTATGCCTGGTGTATCAGGGCTGAACAACACTATCTCTACATAAAACACATATCTTAATATTACGCTTTGTGTACTACGACTTGACAACGCTATCTCTACATAAAACACATATCTTAGTATTACGCCTGGTGTATCAGGGCTGAACAACACTATCTCTACACAAAACACACATTTTAGTATTACGCCTGGTGTATCAGGGCTGAACAACACTATTTCTACATAAAACACATATCTTAGTATTACGCCTTGTGTACTAGAACTTAACAACACTATATCTACATAAAACACATATCTCAGTATTACGCCTGGTGTATCAGGACTTAACAACGCTATCTCTACATAAAACACATATCTTAGTATTACGCCTTGTGTACTAGGACTTAACAACACTATCTCTACACAAAACACATATTTTAGTATTACGCCTTGTGTACTAGGACTTAACGACGCTATCTCTACATAAAACGCATATTATAGTATTACGACTTTTGTACTAGGACTTAACAACACTATCTCTACATAAAACACATATTTTAGTATTACGACTTTTGTACTAGGACTTAACAACACTATCTCTACATAAAACACATATTTTAGTATTACGCCTTGTGTACTAGGACTTAACAACGCTATCTCTACATAAAACACCTATTTTAGTATTACGCCTTGTGTACTAGGACTTAACAACGCTATCTCTACATAAAACGCATATCTTAGTATTACGACTTTTGTACTAGGACTTAACAACGCTATCTCTACATAAAACACATAATATCTGGCCTGGTGTATTATAACTGAACAATGTTATCTCTTTACAAAATACACACCGTTGTGTTATACCTGGTGTATTAGGGCTAGGCAATTGTTATTCTGCATGATAATCGCATTTATTATGCTATAAGTTGTTAAACTGCTAGTGGGGTGTCTTGCTGAAATCTATGTATATGTTAATTAGTTATTTGAATTATAATAAAGCCGTCTATTATGTTATAGAACATCTAATTTTCATAATTTTAAGCTCGATGAAGATGCCAAATATCAAACAAAAGATTGTTATTCCGTGTATGGTTAAATGGAAGTGTTAACAAAAGATTGTTAATCCGTGTATGGTTAAATGGAAGTGTTAACAAAAGATTGTTAATCCGTGTATGGTTAAATGGAAGTGTTAACAAAAGATTGTTAATCCGTGTATGGTTAAATGGAAGTGTTAACAAAAGATTGTTAATCCGTGTATGGTTAAATGGAAGTGTTTTAGAGCAGTTGTTTATAACATTAACTCGATACTGTACTTCTAATGGTCTGTATGAATGTGTATTACAACTTCCTCAGAAACAAAACCACTGAATAGATCTTCAGCAAGTATTACATTTTTTGTCTGAAATATCTAGGTTATATCCAACAGTCATGACACAGTTTTGTGTCAAATCTGGGATAGTTGGGACAGGCATGATACAGTTTAGTGTTAAACCTGAGATAGTTTGAACAGCCATGATGCAATTTGGTATAAAATCTCAGAGAATATGAACAGTCGTAATACAGTTGAATATGGAATATGGGGCAGCTTAGTTTGCCATGATACAACTTAGTACCAAATCTGGGATAATTTGGACAGTTTAGTATCAATAATCTTAATAGAAACGTCTAGTTGAAATTAAGAAGTAATGAATCTATATCATAAGTGTGCTGTGTTTTTTCCTGTGGTGGTATGGCAAAAGTACCTGTTATTTTCGTAATTCCAAGAGGCTTCTTCTTCTTTCTTCTTTTTTTTTTTGGAAGCTAGTATAGCTTTTCCACCTGTTTCAATTATAATAGTTCAGGATTAGATACCATTAACTTTTAAAAACTTGATACACTTTGCAGTAAGGATTTGGCAAAGCAGGGAAGCTAAGTGTATCAAACATTTAATTTTTGAAAATAGATATTATGCTTAAATCGCAAACACTAACTAACAAATTAAAATGGGCAAAGATATTTTGTTAATAAATTTACATCGCAATCATAAGCGTGGTCTCAGGGGCTTTTATAAACAGGTTAACTAAAATGATACCAAGAATAACTAGTCGGTAACTGTTTATACCAACTTTTTCAATATTATGCAACCATTTGGGAAAAGCCAGATTAACGAATGTAAAGACTGAGTTTTAAGTACACAGTTTCACAAGCTTTATCAACTTGCAACATAGAAGCAAGTAGATCTAAAGCCTTTGAATTTCAAATAAATAATTTTGAAAACTTATCAAATTGCAGGATAAAAACTTTTGGGTAGTTCCGCCAAAAAAAAAGTGATAAAAATGATCACGATAATTATAACTACAATTTGTGTAATCACGATTTCTTTTCGACGTATAATGGAAGACGTAAAGCTTTGTTATACAGACATTAAATGGATAACGATAAATGGAATAAAAGCAAGATATAAACTATGGAATCAACGTTAAATTAACGAATTTTATTTGCAAAAATAAGTATTACCCTCCTTTCAACTCAACATTTAAGACTTTTTTTTTAACCAAGAAAACGAAAAATCAGGTTAATATATTATCTTGTTCGACTTAATTATGTTAATTTTGGTTCACTTGTTCTGATAGAGCTTCTTAGGCTATGTCTACAACGTTGAAATGAAACATTATCGGCAGCGGTCTTTTTATTATACAGTATAGTTGAAATTCTGTTCATCTGATTATTTGGTTGAATCCTCTAAGATGTGTAAAAAATTAATTATTTTCTCAGTAGAGTTTTTTGCCGTTTAGTTTCACTAACCGTCCTGAAAAAGCTTGATGCCTCACTAGCTTTAAAGCTATATACCTATAATTAACACTTCAGTATTATTACGTAATTTTGTGGATGACTGTTATCTAGTGGTATAAGCAACTTTAGTTTTCTAAGTTATCTTGTCTGGTCTGTATATTTATATTCATATTTAGTGAAAGTTATGAACATTAGAGGCTTCAAGCTCATAAATGTATGAAAAATAAAAAGAGCCAATTTAAATGTAATATGGTTATCAAGATGTCTGCTGCTGGAAGACTTAGTAGTCTAAAGTAATGATTTTTAAGGAAGATGAATTTATAATAAAAATTATTGCAACTGTTAATTACTTTTACTTGTTGTCCCTCAAAAGGTATATGTAAATTAAACACAGTTTTTGTACGTTTACTGGCCTTTTTTTTATTAATTGTATGTTATTTTCTAGATAATAAAGATCTACCAATAATCTCTATTGTACGTGGATTACTTAAAATTAGGCCCTGATATCTGTAAGTTTAATAAAGATCTACCAAGAAACGTGGATTCTTTACAGATAGGTCTTGACACCAGTAAGTTTAATAAAGATCTACCAGTAATCTGTATAATATGTGGTTTATTAAAAATATGCCATAATACTTATAGGTTTAATAAAGATCTACCAAGAAACAGCATGATAAATGGGTTAATTTAAGATAAATCGTGATAACTATAAGCTTAACTTGAAAAATAATTTTTCATTTACATAAATATCGTAATCTAGCCATGCTAATAAACTGTTTGTTTGTGTTGGTTTCGCCCCCCCAGTGGCACAGTGGTATATCTGCGGACTTATACTGTTAGAAACCGGGTTTCGATACCCGTGGTGGACAGAGCACAGATAACCCTTTGTGTAGTTTTGTGCTTAATAACAAACAACACTGTTGGACTTTGCTTGTTTGTTTTTTGCATTACAGTTCATTAACACTTACTGAAGTAAAGTTATGGAGTAATGGGACTTGACAGTGGAATACATTACTTATGTTGTAGTCAGTCAAGTATTTAGGACTTAAAAGCGGTAATTGAAATTTAAAAACGTATGCATATTTTATATTGGAAGTTAACGCCATTATTGTGGCCATCAGAAACGCTCAATCAAAGACGTAGATCCATCATTCGACTATTGTTGTAGCTAAGGTTTCTTAATGTGATCTTCAGTGAGAACGTAGACATTTCTGAAACGCTCAATCAAAGACGTAGATCCATCATTCAACTATTGTTGTAGCTAAGGTTTCTTAATGTGATCTTCAGTGAGAACGTAGACATTTCTGAAACGCTCAATCAAAGACGTAGATCAGCCATTCTGTTATTCATATGTAACGTGTTAAAGTCGTCATTTCTTGGTCACATTTAGTTTCGCGTAGTTTTATTTTGATATTTATTTGATTTTGTACCCAGTTTAATTCAATTTGTGACTGTGTGTGTGTGTTTTGTCCGAATTTTGATCTGTACACTTTTTTAATGTAATTAAGTGTATTTTGATTTTCTTTCCTTTATCTAATTTTTGTAATCTGGTTTTAATTCTTTTAAATTGCTGATAGAATCTATGTATACAAATAGTTTCTCTTTGCCATGCATGTTTGTTTGAAATTCGCGCAAAGCTACAAGAGGGCTATCTGCGCTAGCCGTCCCTAATTTAGCAGTGTAAGACTAGAGGGAAGGCAGCTAGTAATCACCAACCACTGCCAACTCTTGGGCTACTCTTTTACCAACTAATAGTGAGACTGATCGTCACATTATAGCGCCCCCACGGCTGAAAGGGCGAGCATGTTTGGTGGAACGGGGATTCGAACCCGCGACCCACAGATTGCGAGTCGAGCTCCCTAACTACCTGGCCATGTCGGGCCTACCTTGTATGTTTAATCACTTCAAGCCTGTTGTTTAAAATGTGTTTTAAGAAAGCTATGACCTTGTTAATTAAATTTCTAATTAAACTTTTAGCATTTAATTTTAAAATTCGGGCCTAGAAAAGTCGTAAGATAACGAAGGTGGCGTAAAAAAAACTACTATATTCAAGTTTCGTGTATTTGAAAGTTCAAAATTTTTTGTAATTATTCCGGTAATATTAAAATAAGCTGTTTATATGAATCGATTTTCGAAACGTCCACTAATTATTTCTCATTCAATTTTCAAACAGACGTTTTTAATATATCATCGTCTAATTATTTTTTATTATTTGTGAAATATTTTAATGAACCAAAACAATTTACAGGTTACGTGGATTCGGATTTCATTTGTCCCATTTGTTTGTTTGGGGTTAACTTTCAAATAATTCAAAGTTTAGAAATGAAAAAAAAATGAATATTCTTATTGAACTCCCTTATTATTAAGTTTGTACTATACTAGGATTAGCTCTGGTGTGATTATAACTTGAATAAGCTATCTAGAATGATCGAGTTTACTTCTCTCAGTTTAGAAAACATTCTTTTATCGTTAAAGTCGTTATGAAAACTGATGTCAACTTTGTTTTCTTGTCGACTTTCACTGTACCATTCCTGTGAGAGTCTACAGTCTTAATTCCTCTCAGTAAGCTGTTTTTGAGTTTGCCCTTATAATACTAAATATTCTAACGTTATAAGACATACAAGTTTTTACCGAATCACATCTTGAAAGAGATATAATAGCAAATAATCTAAGGTTATAAGAGATACGCGTTTTGACAAATCATATCTTGGGAGATCACAAATTCAGAATTAACTCTTTTGATAAATACCTGGTGGAAGCTGAACGTTAGTATCATAATTTCCTGTTGCTTCTCTTGTAAGCCTAATCAACGACTATTTTTATAATATTTTTACTTATTCAAGGCACCTTAAAATTCAAAGTATAACATTGTACATTATTTTTAGATCTTTGAAATACACCAAAAATGAAAAACAAAACAGTCACAGTTATACTACTGTTTTTAAACATGATTTTACTTCAGCTAAGAAATTTCCATAGCTACAAAAACTGTTTTCATTCACAACTTCAAATTTTCTGTAATTATAATAACCTCACCATAGCCTCTGTTGCTTCCAAGTAACAAAACATTCTTCCTCTCTACAGATCGTTTCAGCATGAAAGGTCGTCATTTTTCAGTTCGTTGAGAGGTTTGTTTTTCAAGTGTTCAGGAGAAAAACATTCCCCTTCAATCTCTTCAAATCCACTTCTACTGATTATCCAATGTATTGAACAGTTGCAGTATAATGGTAAATCTGTTTATAAACAGAAACTAACTTAATTTCCATACTATGCAGCAATGGCAGCTATAGTTATCGATAAATATTATAGTAAAAAAAACGTACAAGTGTACAAGAAAGTATCCTAATAATGTAAAATATCGCTGACAAAAGATACATTTATTAAAGAATAAATGAGTCTTTTAGCTAAATATTCACCGATTTTTTCATGTAAATGAGCTCCATTAAACTTGCAAAAATATTCTGTCTCTAGGTTAAAAATCATATAACAAATGGAGTTAGATACATCTCAGACAGCAGATTTATTTTGAGATCACGACATAGTCGAGACATATTGGTGCAAGTTTATGAAATAGGCTAATCATAGACGCACCTATTACAGGCCCCCCAGTGGCACAGCGGTATGTCTGCGGACTTACAACGCTAGAATCCGGGTTTCGATACCCGTGGTGGGCAGAGCACAGATAGCCCTTGTGTAGCTTTGTGCATAATTAAAAATAAACAAACAAACCTATTACAGTAATTAATGCAAGTCTATGAAACAAGCTAGAAGCATTGAAGCACCATTAGCAGTTATTAGTGAAAGTCTATGAAACAAGCTAGAATCATTGAAGCACCATTAGCAGTTATTAGTGAAAGTCTATGAAACAAGCTAAAACATTGAAGCACCATTAACAGTTATTAGTGGAAGGTCGATGAAACAGGTTAATCAGAGACGCACCTATAACAGTAATTGGTTCAAGTGTATGAAACAGCTTAATCATAGACGCATTTATAACAGTAATTGATGCAAGTATCTGAAACAGTCTGATCACGGACGCGCCTGTGACAGTGACTGGTTCAAGTCTATGAAACAAGCTAATCATTGAGAAATAATCTAAAACAGGGAGGAAAGGTATCACTTTCATCAGCGTTTGGGTAGAAGGAACATCTGTATCCATAAGCTCAATAGTTTAACACCGTCTTATCTAAGTTCTCCAGCTTTTTGGGGAGGTTAACCTTTAGGTCGAAAATACTCTTCTTGTTAAGAAGGAACCATCTGGTCACTGATCAGAGCAAGTTAGAAAAGATGAAGTTAGAATGATGCCACCTCTTGGGAAAGCTACCCTGTGGTAGGTCAAAAGTTCGGACTTCAGTGATTGGTGAAGGCTACATTAAAGTTTACACGCCCTGTTTAAAGCAAATTTCTTTTTACCACATCAATCTATGCCATTCTACACCCACGTCCATTTTGTCTTGCCTCTAGGACAAAATTGCTCTTATGAATTGAAAACAATTATAGAGAAATTATTTGAACTTGTATTTCAGATTTTGTTAATGATACTCTAATATTAAATTGTTTCTACTAAACTATTTTACTTGATAAAGTTTAAAGAGAAATTTGACAAAAAAATACAAATACATTTTCTTTCAAGATTTGTTTTAAATTGTTCTTTGCACGTTAGCACTTGTACCTCATCACTTACATGTGCACCAACATGCAGTGGTTGAGTACTGCATGTTAAGCACCTGATCCTCACGTATCATGAGATAGAGTACTTACAGAACAAGCAGTTTGTAAATGAATCACAGCAGCAGGTGGACTGTACATATAATATTTATCACCTATAGGTTTTTCCCTGTGGCGATCTCACATGCTGCTGACTCCTCCATTATACTCATTGTAAGGACTATCAAATAAGTTTACTTTATTGCTTTCTTACCTATAATGTGTTAAAACAAAGCAAATACAAGTAATTAAACCAAGTTATACTCTTCAAACAAAAACTGATTCCCATACATTTTTTCAATAATATTCTACACCTATTTATAAAGTTTTAGCATTTTATAAAAATTAATTAAAATACAGAATGAAAGGATCAGATAATTTAAAAGACAACCAAATAAACAAAGGATAGGATAATGCAACAATATTATACAAGTATTCAGAACAGACTTAATTGTAGAGAAATTTTTTTTTATTTAAAGTTAGAAGTTTGTTTATAATAGATAAACTTTCTTTAATTAAAAGTTCAATATTGGATGATCCAGATTAGATGACTTTGAAATTCGTAATCAATACAGAATGGTTGGTGTTTTCACTAGGTGTGCGAATTATGGAGTCTGCTGGATTTGATAGTTTGTTTACCAGTCCCATATGTTCGCAGGCTTGCAGGTGTAATTGACGTATAGTTTTGTCAATGAATCACAGCCATCACGTGTGCATGTATTTATATACGATACTGGAACGCATAGAGGTAGGTAATAGGTCTTTAGACCTGAATAGATTTTGCATTTTGAAAGGTGACTTAAATATCATTTGTAGTTGAACTTGTGGGTAAAACATTTTATTTATTCTTCAAATTTGTGACTTCACTATGAAACTTTGCTTACCTAAAAAAGTAACGGTCATTCTTAATGAGTATTTATGACCAGTGTGGTTTTATTGGAGGTTCAAGTTTGTGGGAAAGGAATAAAATGCAAGGGATAGCTGTTGAATATTAAAATGTTCTGTAAGGTGGTGATTTCGGTATGAAGAAGGAGACAATTAGAGCAGATGTTATATGCTCTATTGAGAAGACTGAGTATAAGGTTACATTTAAAGGAATTCGGAATAAAACTGTCGGATCGAATATGTAAGTAAGCCTTATATGGTTATCTAATCTGCTAATTTGGATATCAAGAAAATGCAATTTACCTCTTTTTTTAAACGTTTCTTTAAGATTCACAAGAACACTAATTCAAGAATTCAACTGTAAATGTTTGAGAGGACCGAAAAGTAACTAAATGCTCTCACTCTGTATTTCTTTCTAGCAGAAATCAGAATTATAATATAATAGAATATTAAAAATGGTGTTATCTCTCCATTCATCTACTTTTGTCAGTATAAAATAGAAAGTTATCCTGAATAAAGTGAATGGAGAAAACACCTTATTCAGAGGATGTTTGTTGGTGTTTGTCAGGTAGAGTCAGAATTAGGATTTATTCGTGAAATAACACCTATGTAGAAACGATGTTGTAAATATATTATTTCTAGCTGTGAGAATGGTGGGAATTGCTCTTGATTATCGTGATCGAAAGGACAAAACAAATAGTTTACGAATAATTTCCTTGAAGTTCCAATTGATAACTTGAAATTAAAGGTTATAATGTCTATTCATTCACTAATTTCTCAATCACTCGACCAGTATAGTTGATCAGATATATCTCTCATTCCCAACCGTAGTGTAGTATTCATTATTCTTCCTCTGGCTTGTTGTGAACAGTCAAGGAAAGTTTGATATCATTCAGTCCCTCCTCTTCTTCTTCTGGTTCATAAAACCCTCACCACTGTCTGCTGTTTTAACTCATTCATTCTTTGACTCATGGTCAAGCCCGTGTTACCGATACGCAGCTCAAAATTGAGTATTTCGTAGTTTGACAGATAGAGTCGGTGCAGTAAAAAATAAGGTCTAGTGTATCAGAATCTGAATATTTTTTTTACCGCTGATGTATACCAGAGCCACACTCAGTCTCGTTATTTGTACTTCACCATCGTGTCTTACATAACTTTCTGTCTCTCGACTACTTCCCCATTTTGTATATGTCTAATATCGTGGATTGTAACCATGCTTCATATTCTTGTAGACATTTGAACAGTTCTGCAGTTAGTGGAAGTATAATATGAGATCTACTGGGAGTGTAACGTTATGTCTAAACTAATATGTTTTGAGAACACTCAATATGTCATCATTATGTTTAGCAAATGATCATCTCAGTCAGAGTAACCTAACTTCAAAATCTCTGAAAGCATTTCCTTCACAGCTTGGATAATCCATCTAAACGTCAGACTGAGAATGATAAGGTAAAGTATATGTTAACTGTTGAAGTATAAATCTTTTCTGGTGGTTTACGGTGAGCTAATCCCCTATTCAACTAATTTGACTTGCACAATGTATCAAACAATTGACTGTTGAAGTTTTTTTTAATCAGTGTAAATCTTTTCTGGTGGTTTACGGTGAGCTAATCCCCTATTCAACTGATTTGACTTGCACAATGATTCAAACAATTGACTGTTGAAGTTTTTTTTTAATTAGTATAAATCTTTTCTGGTGGTTTACGGTGAGCTAATCCCCTATTCAACTAATTTGAGTTGCACAATGTATCAAACAATTGACTGTTGAAGTTTTTTTTAATCAGGGTAAATCTTTTCTGGTGGTTTACGGTGAGCTAATCCCCTATTCAACTAATTTGACTTGCACAATGTATCAAACAATTGACTCTTGAAGTTTTTTTTAATCAGTATAAATCTTTTCTGGTGGTTTACGGTGAGCTAATCCCCTATTCAACTAATGTGGCAATAAACGAACATGCTTCATCCCATTGAGTAAAGTAATTGATTACCACTAATGGTAACTATGCTTGGTTGATTACCACTAATGGTAACTATGCTTGGTTGATTACCACTAATAGTAACTAAAGAGGGGTCCGGCAATACCCAGGACTATTCTTTAAAATGGAGAATCTAGTTGCTGATGGAATGTTTCGTGGCACAAGTAATTCTTTTTCTGAGCCACAGAGGTAGTGAGCGCTCTTTTATATCATCACTCTACATTTCTGTGGCCAGTAAAAACCATCTCTACTGGTTGGCTTTACTGGTAGAAATTCCCTGCTGTCCTCCAATGAATGTATTGTATAATATTCAAAGAATTTTGGATCCTAAAAATCTCAGGATCACTAGCTACATCTCAGGTTAGGCACCATACTTACAGGGGTTATAATAATGTTATACCACTCTGTCCCAAATCCCTAATTCATCAAACACTTGTCAGTTCTATACTACGTTTATCCATTTCTGATGGTTGTGTTTCACCTCACTGCACAGTAATTAGCATCCAAGGTAGATGTGAGTCCTTTAACTTGTTTATTGCAGCTTCGTCTTTGTTTTATTCAGTGAAATCTTCATTATTTACATAGTTTCTTTTCGTGGTTGAGACTTTACACTACTTCTAACCATGCAAAACACATTAGCGCTCAGAGGATATTAGCCTACAACT